GAGATTTTCGAAGGCCAACTTTCAAAATTCACACACAATCAGAGTATTACATATGGGCCTTACAAATGCAGAAGCAATAAATTCAAGGCTAAGTAGTCCATAAGAGCAGTGCATAAGTTAAATGGAATGGCATACATCATTACATAGCTTTACAATCTTGAATACAAACAAAAGGAAGTACGAAAAAAATACTTCTTCACCAAAAGGCTTCTCAGCCATCAAATACAAAATACAATGAAATGCAACTAAGAAGCAAAATCTTCAACATGCTGCAAAAGTGCAAAATCCAAAACAAGTGGCAAGTACATCTAGGCGTCATCGCCGTCCTGCTCGTCACCTACATATATATAGAGAGGGGTGAGCTTGGATACTCAGTGAATGGTATAAATAATAAAAGGGTTTTGCATGACTGGTATTCAAGATCTTTATCAAACGATACATAACATAATTAGTGCAAGTCAAGGGATGAACCAAGTCCATCTAGCAAATCTTTCAAGCTTCAAGGGATGCTTATTAGCATCATTATAGTACAAGTGATGACATCTCAGACAAACAAACCCGCGCGGTAAACCATCAGTGGCAAACAAGGCAAGACAAGGGAGATATCTCAATTCAATGGTGCAGTCGCATTATAGTCCCCTAGCACTAAGGACTTGTGCTACAAATGCTTAGAGTCCCCTAGCACGTACGAACTTCCAAACTTTGTGCTGCAAATGCTTAGAGTCCTCCAGCACGTAAGGACTTCCAAACTTTGTGCTACAAATGCTTAGAGTCCTCCAGCACATAAGGACTTCCAAACTTTGTGCTGCAAATGCTTAGAGTCCTCCAGCACGTAAGGACTTTCAAGATTGTCATCAAAACAAGATAGTACATATTTTCCAACTAGGAATAACCATTCATGCTTACAAATACTTTTTCAAAACAAGGCAAAACAAGGCTTTTATCAAAGCATTATAACATAGCTTTATTAAAAATACCACTCACTTAGCTCTTCAAACGTCGGGGTCAAGGCAAGTCCAAGTCCTACAAACACAAGGCAAAGTCTGTTGAATGCACTTCTCAAAAACAAGTCTAGCATGTATGCAAATGACCTCGGCATTCTTCAAAGGCTAAGTGAAATCGAAACAAAACACAGTTTCTCATCTCAGGAAAACATGCTGGGCGACTACCAGGTCTAGGCCGAGGTCCAACACCTCCTTGCCGAGGTGTTGCCTCGATGGCCACATTCAAAGGAAATGAAGTTGGGAAAAATCTGGGTTTCCCTCTCTTGAAGAACATGACGAACATGAAGAACATGAACATGAGGAAGATGAATGCAATGATCATAATTTGCTATTACAAAATCTGAGATTTCATGCTATGAATTTAAAACATGGACCTGGGTACCCATATTCAAGGATCTTGTGAGAACAAACACAAAAACATGAATGTTAATGCAAACTTTCGGATCAAACAAGACTTTTTTCTTCAAGAACACATGAACACTATTTTCTCTTTCTAAAACCAACTTTAAATCAATGCATGACGTGCAGAACAGGTTCGATCGTGTAATGCAGCTAGATGATCAATAAGAACAACAAGAGTAAATCAAGAATCTAACCTCAATACACGAATCTTACGGTTTGATCTCTAGGAATCAAGCTCGAAAGCCCACTCTCTCACTCTAAAACTTCTTCTTCTTCCTAGAGCTTCTCTCTCTCTACAAGGCAACGATATAATACAAAAATGTATATTTTCTGGGTCTGTCGGCTGACTTAACCCTCTGCAGGGGTACGTGGTAGCGGCTGGTTGGTTCTACTCAAAAAGTGACTGAGTGAAAAGACAAGACTATGACAAAGTGTACTCAACAAGCTAGGCGGCAAGAACACCCCGACAAGTAACGACATCGGCTAACAACAAGACTTCGGCAAGCAAGGGGCAAGGACATCGGCTAGAAAGGACAACACTTGGCCTAGATGTGCCACACCTCGGTCTAGGTCGTACCAATCCAAGAGTAAGGTCACTTGGTTCAAGGGTAACATCTCAGCCTAGATAATGCACATCTCGGCCTCGGCGATGAACACCTCGGCCAAATAGTGACATCTCGGCCAGCATGTCAGGGTGAAGGTGGAGTCAACCAAAGTAAATTCCAAGATGGTCTTAGATGCAAGAGGTTCAAAACTGACCTAGGCTCAGCGTGACCTCGGCTAAACCCACACCGAGCAAGGTACAAAGCATGCTGTAACACTTAAGCGAACAAGGACAAGACTTCAAATGCAAGCTTAACAAGACAAGATCATATGAATGCATATGAGTATGGTTAGGACAGTGTGAGGGTTATTACATAGTCATTTTATACCCAAAAATTAGAAAAGGCATAAAATCGTTGCTCCATCAAACTCAGCAAGGCAATCGGGAATTTCTATCAAACCCAAATCCCTCGCTACAAATAACCAGCGACAAAGGCTCGGCTATTGGACTGAAATCAGAAACTATTGAGCAACGGTACAATCTCTCTCTCGTCCTCCTCTTTTCTTTTTCTTTTTTATCTCTTAACTTAATATTGAATCAATGTTTCAATGATTTGATTGTTGGATCAAGAGTTTGAATTGGATTTTTAATTTTGAGTGATGATACATTTAATGAATATTGAATATAGAGTTTCAAGAGTTATGAATTTTCCTTAATTGCTTGCATAGTGCTTGTTGAATTGCCACAATGAATATGTTGCTATGCAGGACTGACTTTCAAACTTTCTGCAGTATTGCTTTGAATGTAGAGGAGTTATGAATTTTCTTAATTGCTTGCATGATGTTCATTGAATTCCCACAATGAATCTGCTGCTGTGTAGGATTGGAATTCAAACTTTATACATATTACTTTGGGTAGATTTTACATAGCACTGTTGGCTGCATGACATTGCATGGGGCCTCTAGTTTGTTGAACTGCATGTAGCTTCACCCTATTTAGGTTATCCATGGTACCTTTATGATCTATCAGATGTAGTTGCTAAACCAAAGAGTTAATTGTTGTTGCCAAACTTGGTATGATTATTTCAGTTGTTTTAATGTGGCACACTAAACCATGCCTTGTTCATCGTATCAGTTGGTTTGTTTGTTAATTCGGTGAAGCTGTTACATAGAGAATATTGTTAAATTTGAAATAATCAAGAAAATAGGGTTTGCTTTTCATTCCTTCGAAGCCATCTCAGAATATCATTTCTCACCATTTGATTAATGCAGGGGGATCATTTAATTTTTTGGGGTTGGTGAGTGAGTGGGTTGGGGAATTTTCCTGATGAAGTTTGATAGCATGGCATGATGGTCGGTTGATTTTAGATTCGACTTCTCATTTCAAGAGGAAAAAAACAAAAATGTGTCATTTTGATTGTCAATCTTCTCTCTGTAAAAGGTTGTTTACTTTCTTCTTCGTTTACGTGTCTCTCGAATCTCCCAAAGCTCACTAATCACTGAAACTCCCTGTTTCAACCTCTCAACAGGCTTTCCAATTCTGGGTAATTCTCATACAAAAATCTCAATTAATTTTTGCATTGATTGATATATATATATATATATGTATATGTATATGTGTATGCATATGCATATGCATATGCATATGTAAATGTGATAATTGATTAGTTTCTGTTTAAACAATTTGCTTCAAAATATGATGGTTTGAATTTGATTGGGTAATGTTTCAATTCTGCAAATTGGACTATTGATAGTTGAAAGTTCTGATCTTTAAAAATCTCAATTAATTTTTGCATTGATTGATATATATATATATATATGTATATGTATATGTGTATGCATATGCATATGCATATGCATATGTAAATGTGATAATTGATTAGTTTCTGTTTTAACAATTTGCTTCAAAATATGATGGTTTGAATTTGATCGGGTAATGTTTCAATTCTGCAAATTGGACTATTGATAGTTGAAAGTTCTGATCTTTGTGGTTATAAGGGATTAAACCGTAAACCCAGGTAGGGTTTAAGTGTAATTTTTGCATTTGGGCATCTTATGGTCTTGAATTGTAATATGAATTTCATTCTTGTTAAAATCTTATTGTTGTCGAGTACTTGCATTTTCATCGAATTCGATTGAAACATGTGGGGAAATTTCCCTTTTTTTTTTAGAATTGTCCAAATGGTGACTTAACCATACAAGAATTGGTAATTTTTCTTTTTATTTTGCTTGTATATGGAAGTACTTTTGTTGATGAAAACTTAACTAGGGAGACACATATAGATGCTCGAGAACAAGAATGGATTAGCATCAACATTTTATTAGTAGTTTACTTTGTGAAAGTGTTTATCTATGTTGACAATGCTTAATGCATTGCAAAGAGTGTTAATTTGCTTGATGATGATGTTAAAATTTTTTTCCTTCCCTTGTGAGACTTAGGATCACAGATTAGCTTTTTTCACTTCTTCCAATGTACTTTGTCTTTGAAAATAACAAAAAATGGTAGGCTGATTACTCTCTCCTCAATTAATTATTGCTTATAATGAGGAATTGCTAACTAGTGTCTAATTAAATCTGAAAGAGCATAAACAAATTGGGATTTTACATTTACAGACTAAATTTTAGCTCATGCATACAGTTTTAGATGCGAAATTTCACCTATGTTGTTATGTGAAACTTAGATTGACTCATATCTTTTTTACCATGTTTGTATAATTGATATACACTATTCTTACTAATAAATAGAATCTTAATTGGTGTCATGTATGGTATTTGACTGGTAAGAAGACAGGTTGCAAGGGTTTATTCTCTTTTGTGTAATCAAATTAATTATGATTTTACACATATTGCGTGGATATTTTTAAGTCTAATCTAGTTAATGATAGGCCATAATAACTTTCGAATTTGACAAGTTCTTAGGTAATGTTTGGTTCATTGGAATGAAATGGATATAACGGACATTTTATCATGTTTGGTTGATTAAAAAATAATGAGAATGCATTGTAAATTGAATCATCATTCACCATTGCAATGGAATGATCATTTCATATGATGGATTCTCAGACACCAACGGATGCGTACTTCACCAATCTATTACAATGGGGATCCAACCTTTTAGGTGAATTTATGATCAAATCTCCAAATCAAATGGGTCAATGTTCAAGCCAACATGGTGAAGTGGCTGGGCAAGAGTCTCCATTATCACCCCAAATAGAATCCACCACAAAGAAATCACAACGTGGTGGCAACTTTAGTATAGAAGAAGACAATCTCCTTGTATCGGCATGGCTCAATACAAGTTTGGATGCAATACACGAAAATGAGCAAAAGCACAAGACATATTGGAACAGAGTTTGGGAGTATTTCCACAAGTACAAGACTTTTACTTCTGAACGTAATCAGAATTCTTTAATGAATCGGTGGTCAACTATTCAACTTGGAACCAATAAGTTTTGTGGGTTCTTTGCTCAAATTGAATCAATGCATCAAAGTGGAGTAAATGAGCAAGACAAGGTCTATATTGTGTACATATCTAAATTAGATGTAATTGTCTTTTGGTTTGAACATGCTAATTCGTCTTTATTCATTTAATTTTTCAGATTGGCAAGGCCAAACTTATGTATCAGGAATTCCAAAAAACATCATTTCAATTTGAACATTGTTGGAATGTCTTAAGGCACCAACCAAAATGGTTAGAGGAATGTCAAAAGAAAAAACCAAAAAAAAAAAGACTTCTGCAACATCTTCTCCTTTAGCTACAAAGGCGATAAATCTAGCAGATGATGATGTTTCACATCATGCTTATGTAGACTTGGAGAGGCCACTAGGCAGGAAGGTTGAAAAAGAGCAGTTGAATAAACGAAATAGTAAAGATTCAGCTGGTTCAAATTGTGCAGGGATATTGAATGGGATAATGGAAGAAAAAAAGAAAGCAAATGACAAGAAAATGGAAATCCTTGAGAAAGCGTGTCTTCAAGAGCAAGAGAAGAATCGTATGAACCAAGAGCTTGAGCAAGAGAGAATTTGAATTATGAAAGAGGAAATCCAAGAGCGATTTCATATTAAACAAGAAAAGATTCGAGCAGAAAGTACAAGACTTTTACTTCTGAACGTAATCAGAATTCTTTAATGAATCGGTGGTCAACTATTCAACTTGGAACCAATAAGTTTTGTGGGTTCTTTGCTCAAATTGAATCAATGCATCAAAGTGGAGTAAATGAGCAAGACAAGGTCTATATTATGTACATATCTAAATTAGATGTAATTGTCTTTTGGTTTGAACATGCTAATTCGTCTTTATTCATTTAATTTTTCAGATTGGCAAGGCCAAACTTATGTATCAGGAATCCCAAAAAACATCATTTCAATTTGAACATTGTTGGAATGTCTTAAGGTACCAACCAAAATGGTTAGAGGAATGTCAGAAGAAAAAACCAAAAAAAAAAAGACTTCTGCAACATCTTCTCCTTTAGCTACAAAGGCGATAAATCTAGCAGATGATGATGTTTCACATCATGCTTATGTAGACTTGGAGAGGCCACTAGGCAGGAAGGTTGAAAAAGAGCAGTTGAATAAACGAAATAGTAAAGATTCAGCTAGTTCAAATTGTGCAGGGATATTGAATGGGATAATGGAAGAAAAAAAGAAAGCAAATGACAAGAAAATGGAAATCCTTGAGAAAGCATGTCTTCAAGAGCAAGAGCAAAATCGTATGAACCAAGAGCTTGAGCAAGAGAGAATTCGAATTATGAAAGAGGAAATCCAAGAGCGATTTCATATTAAACAAGAAAAGATTCGAGCAGAATAATTAAAAGAAAATGAGAGAATTATAATGATGGATACAAATGGTTTGTCTCCAATGCAACAAGAATACTACCTTCACCGCCAAATGGAGATTCTTGAAAGTCAAAGGAGTACTAAATAGTTAGTTTTTATTGGAATATATTGTTATATTCAAACATATCATGTTTTTGTTGAACAATGCCATGGTTCAGTGCACTTTTTTGTTAAGTATTGATTTACATTGCTATGAAAATGAATAAATGACTGCTTAGGGGCATCTATATTCTGGATTATAAGTATCTTGTTCTTCTCATTGTTATTTTTGGTGATTTTTTGTTCATTGGTTGAAGTTGGACATCTTTTGTGGTCTATTAAGGCTTCCAAATGTGTGGGAAGTCATTTGGAAGCCTTGATAATTTAGAATTTGTATGTTTGTTGCCTTCAATAAAATTTTTTATGAGTGTTGTAAAGTTTCCATGAGGGAAGAATTCAAATGGAGGCTCCAATCTGTTTGAGTTGAAAGTGTGGTACATTTGAGAGACTTTCTATGGTGATGCTATTTTTGTGCCTGAATAGAATGTTTAGGTCAATACCATGGTTGGTACTAGGCCTGTTTGAATTCTTCTGTAATGGTCTATATTATTTTTATATAGATTATGTAGAGAAATAAAACTAACCTGAAAGAGCAAAAAAGTGAGAGCAACAGGGTAAATAACAGATTGCTGCTGCTTTGCTTCAGATTCTGTTTCTTTGCTTCAGATTCTATTTCAGATTGCTGCTGTTTTGCTTCGGATTCTGTTTCATCTTCCTCTGCTGTCTATTTGTTCTACTGCTGGCCTTGTTGTGTGGGGCTGCTATCAAATTTGCTATACTGCTACTTTGGCCCTGGTTCAGGGTATATTTTGTTAGATTGCTTTGCTCACTAGTGGACTGCTATGGCTTAGGTTCAATTTTGTTGAGTCCAACCTTGTGATCTGTGATCTGCCTTCAATGTTTGGCGAGGCCAGCCATTTGGATGGAATGTGCTTTGTTGCCTCTATGCGAGTGAATCTCAATAATTAGTTTACTAAGCTGTATGGTACTAATGGTTGATGCTGCTATATATTGAGCTGAGTCTGGTTTGGTGAGTCTAGTACTTTGTTCTTGTTACAGAGTGAATACTAGTTTGATGTTGCTATTGCTATAGAGTTGGTTAGGGTAAATTTAAAACCTTTCCTTAGATTATGCAAATTTCATTAAAAGCTCCAAGTATTACGACTCAAATTTATGTATAAGTTCTTCTAGTTCAATATGCGCCTTACGAAGAGCCAATGTTATTTCATTGCATAGTTGTTGAAATCATATGATTTGCGATTCATATCTTACAATTCAGAGTCGATTCAAACTGTAATTGATACGGATTGGTTTAAGGAATCGATAGAGGGCTTGAATCACTGGATGGATAGATAAATTGACTGATTCAATTTAACCCATTTGTTGAAAATGGTCTCTCAAAGCCTTTTAATGCTGTTAAGATTGGTCCAGACCATTTTTCTCTTTTGTTCCCGTTCTTTTATTGTATTTTAGACCCTTTGTGCCTCAGACATCAATTTTCAAACAAATTTTTTTCTTTCTCTCAACAAGGCCTCTCATTGTTGAAATTTGGCTTTAGCTTTTTTATATAATGGACCTTGCATGCTTGTTTTCTGTATTTCAAGTGAATTAATGCACACTGCCACTTACCTGACCTATTTAACCAAAGTCATCATTGACAACAAGTTTTGCATTAATATATGTAATAATTCAGCTTTTCAATAGAATTTTTTTTTTCTTGTTTAAATGTGTTTTTCCACCTATTCTAGAAAATTTTACCGAATCTTTTGATTCACTATTATAAGAAAGAGAATATTGATTCATGATTCATATCTCAATATAACAACTATGGTTCATCGTGATCTCAATCAAAAGCCTTGCGACCAATATTAATTGATGGTGCAGAAGCTCCATAGCCTAATAATCAGCCATTATATACTAAGACTCTATGGGACCCTTGTTTAGCAATCCTAATACTGGTGCCCTGATCTTTTGCGGGTGACTGCTCTTTTCAATCTTGTTCACCTCCCCTCTGTGGTATCTGTGTTCCTTTAGTAGTTCAATATTGACTAGTTTGTTCTCTTAGCAATCCATGTGCACAGGAGGATAATTTCAAAAATCAATTTGTATGAACCACTGCTGTAACAATGTCCAAATCACAAGTTTGATACCATGTTTTTCCATGATGGGATAACCTTGGTGCAGCATAAAGGAGTTCTTTCGGAGTTGTGTCGATATATCTGTATCATGTCGTATCCATGTACTGTGTTTAAATCCAAGCTTCTTAAAAGTAAATCCACATTAAGGCAATGTTAAATAGACTCAGGTACGAGTATCGGTGCGAGTATGTATCCAAGCGTTAAACCTTTATAAGAGTGAATGCTAGTTTGATGTTGCTATTGCTACAGAGTTGATGCAAGATGTGGTGCCTCAGACATCAATTTTCAAACAAATTTTTTTCTTTCTCTCAACAAGGCCTCTCATTGTTGAAATTTGGCTTTAGCTTTTTTATATAATGGACCTTGCATGCTTGTTTTCTGTATTTCAAGTGAATTAATGCACACTGCCACTTACCTGACCTGTTTAACCACAGTCATCATTGACAACAAGTTTTGCATTAATATATGAAATAATTCAGCTTTTCAATAGATTTTAATTTTTTTTTTCATGTTTAAATGTGTTTTTCCACCTATTCTAGAAAATTTTCCCGAATTCAGAAAGAGAACATTGATTCATGATTCATATCTCAATTTAACAACTACGGTTCATCGCAATCTCAATCAAAAGCCTTGCGACCAATATTAATTGATGGTGCAGAAGCTCCATAGCCCTAATAATCAGCCATTATATACTAAGACTGTAGGGAGCCCGTTTTTTAGCAATCCCAATACTGGTGCCCTGATCTTTTGCTGACTGCTCTTTTTAATCCTATTCACCTCCCCTCTGTGGTATCTGTGTTCCTTTAGTAGTTCAATATTGACTAGTTTGTTCTCGTAGCAATCCATGTGCACAGGAGGATAATTTCAAAAATCAATTTGTATGAACCACTGCTGTAACAATGTCCAAATCACAAGTTTGATACCATGTTTTTCTATGATGGGATAACCTTGGTGCAGCATAAAGGAGTTCTTTCGGAGTTGTGTCGATATGTCTGTATCATGTCGTATCCATGTACTGTGTTTAAATCCAAGCTTCTTAAAAGTAAATCCACATTAAGGCAATGTTAAATAGACTCAGGTACGAGTATCGGTGCGAGTATGTATCCAAGCGTTAAACCTTTATAAGAGTGAATGCTAGTTTGATGTTGCTATTGCTACAGAGTTGATGCAAGATGTGGCTGCTGCTGGGTGGTCAATTTGAGTTGCTTGATGAGTTACTGCAAGTTGGAGTCAATTTGTTTATTGACAACTACTACTGTATTAGTGGTTTTGGTTTTCATTACAAGAAGATAATTGGCTTGACATTTGCATTCTTTGATGAGTAACAAAAGACCTTTTTGTTTTTGATAAATAAATGTAAGACATATGGATCACCCAGGTAGGAAAATTGATGAGCTTCACTAACAATTCTAAATCTTTTTAACTTTTTACTTCAAAAACTTAGCTTTAATGGTTTAGATATATAGTGCCTGAAAATATGTTCGAATGTTCAGTATTATCTCAATGGTGTTTTGAGTTTTTTTCATATTTTTTTCTCCCTTGGTGCATTGCAGCCTGACTGTTGCTTTAATAAATAAACAATAAATAAGGAATATTTAAATTGAATGGAGAAAGAAATGGAGAGTTTGTTGGAGCATGACAAGAAAAATAAGGATAGCTAAAATAGAAAAGTAGGTTTTTAGCTACAATTTGACTAAACATTTAGCTACTTTGATAAAGATGCTCTAAGAGCATCTCTGACTCACTAGGCATATAAGATCTGTTAGTTAAAATGCATAGTATAATTTATTTGTTTAAACTCAAATGCATTAGATTCATGATTAGGCATTTGCCTTAACTCACATTCACTAGCTAAATGTAACTAACTTTTAAAGGCTAGGCAAAATATTTTTTACCCTTATGATCTTTTTCCTCCATCTTTATTGCTAATGTGATATTCGATAAAGTGATTAATATTTGTATAAAAAAACTAAATAAAAAGCACAATTTGAGTGACAACATGAAAAAGTAGATAAACAAAATAAAATATATACATTATAGTTATTGTGGAGGGAAAAAATATGAGCCCAGACCCAAATTCATTGACATCAGCCCAAAAAGATAGAGAGGTCCAAAATAATTCCTTAAGCCCATAAAGGATAGCTAATAACGGGTTGGTCCAAACTCAGGTGTGTGAAGGGCAATTGAACATAAAGATATCGTTCTAGAAAGAGGATCTGTAAAAAAGGAAGGTCGTCGAATTAAGATTCAATCTGGTGGATAAGAATATATGTCAAGAAATTAAGAGATGTAGACTAGGCTTAGTTAAAGGTAAAGTCATCCAATCAAAATCATCTCACGGGCATGACGCCAAGCAAGTTGGCCACTAGCATCTGACAAAATCTTAGCCATCCACATGGTAAGGATCTAACGATCAAGGATAAAAGCAACTTGACAATTGGACTAGTCATTACTAGACGAAGGCAGAACCCATCGATCAAAAGGTAAACGGACAAACAAGATTTAAGCCAAATAACTATAGAAGGGTCAATAGGTAAAGCACAAAGGATGGACAAGAGGTAATCCAAGAAACCTCTTTTAAATACAGTTTACACATATCTTTCTCTATGGCCAATCAATATACTGACTTGATGGGGAGGGTCTTCCCTACCAAACCAGGTCAAGAGCAATCACTAACATTTAGTTTATGTTTACAGAGTAAAAGGGAGAGACACGTCATCACCATTTCCCTGTGGAGATAATTTTACCTTCTCCAATAACTTTTTGATAGTTAAAATAATTGAAGATACTCTAACATACTGACATTTCACATTTAAACCAAATTTATATGTTTTTGCCATTTGCTTTATGGTTCATTTTAGGATTGTTATGTATTGAGACAAAAAAATAAGTACAGTGAAAAAGACATACATATATATACTAGTGTAAAAGGCCCTTGACTCTAATGTTTTATTGAGTTTACTAAATGAAATGGAATAATATGACATTTTTAAAAAAATATTTATTTTATATTTGATTCGTTCAAAAAATAATAAAAAATGCATTGTAAAAGAAATAATAATAATTTCATAAAAAATAATCATTTCATTCCATCGCACTTCATTCCATTCCACTACCTGAACTTTTTCTCCAAAAATAAGAGTAGTTTCTTACAAAATTGAACAGAATAAATTATTAAATATATGATAGAAATTTTAATTTCAATGTACAATTATGCAATAAATATATGAGATTAAATTTTAGTTCAAATGTGTAGATTTTTTGTTATTATTTTTTATTAGGATGGAGTAATCGAATGGTGATATTACACGCCAATGATCATATAGTATCACTGTTAAACTTTGTTTTGGTTTCATTTGTAAAAAATTATTTTTAGACCCGTGCAAGGCACGGGTTATTCTTGTGATAAATTTATATTTCCAAAATGCAAATCTTATAACAAATTATTCTGTTTTGTTTGATTTTTTAAAAATTATATTTAGACGAATTTTCATTTGTTTTAGTAAATTTTTTCATATTTTATTCAAATTATTATTATTAGTTTACAAGTATTTTTTCTATTCATTCTGTTAAATTAAAGATTCTGATAGGAATAGTTGTAATTTTTAGTATTGTAAGGCATTTCATATTTTAAACAAATCTCAGTATTGTATTTCTAATTTACCCAAAATCGAAACATTTATGTTTCATAACTGACTAAGAATCTACACATTATTACGAAAAATCTTTCACTCAAATTAGTACCACCAATATTGGTAAATATTATCAAAGAAAAGGGTAAAATGAAAAAGTCAAATTTTAGGTTATAATTAGTAAATTATACAAAATAAAAAGGCAAAATAAGGGAAAAAACTCAGAGGTTTATTTGTAGGGTGCCTTTATTTACACACCATATTTGATCTCAAGGCACACCACTACTTAGTTCACACCTTTAATAATTTGAAAAAACATAATTTTTCTCAACATACACCACAACGTTTCATTTTTGCCCTTAGTCCCACATCATTTAGTACACACCTCAAATTCACAAAAAAAAAAAAAAAAAAAAAACTGTTTAGTCACTTACCACCGACGGCAACAGCTATCACCGACAACCACCATCAACGCCAACCATGGCTTCCGTCGTCAACCCTTCATTCCGTCATTGCAACTGTCGCTGCCCACTTCCCAATCTCGTTTCTCACCGTCGCGATTTCTAGCCCCCGCCGTCGCGATTACGATCGCATGCTGCTCATCTCCCGTGACCCTGGTGGCACACCTCCGAGAGAGAGAGAGAGAGAGAGAGAGAGAGAGAGAGAGAGAAAGAGATGATCGCGATCACGATCTGTACTCTCGCAATCTACGAGGTGGTGGGTTTCTGGGTTGGTTATTGCGACGGGAGGGAGGATGGAGGGTTGACGGCGGCGAGGGTTTGTAGTGATGGGGATTCGCTGGAGCTAGAGAGAGGCGACGAGGCAGCGACAGTGAAATGGCGGCGGCTGCAGCAGTGGTGGCTAGGGTTAGGGTTTGGATGTGTATTCAACTAAGGTGTGTATTCAGTTGTGGTCATTTTGGTTATTTTAGGTAAGGTCATTATTGTAATAAAAAATAACCAATTAATAGTGTGTCTTGAGACCAAATATGGTATGTAAATAGAGGCACCCCAAGCAGGTAAGCGCTTTTTATATATAGATATATATATATATATATATATTATTGTAATACAAGACCCTATATGATTAATATACAACACTACTACAAACTCATAAAATTATTTTAAAAAGTGAATCAATGCACTACATTCATTGTAAGTGTGATCTACCTCCCACTAATTTTAAATCTACACAATACACTCACTCACTTTTTGGAATAAAATTTTAAATATATTTTCATGATGCATGGCATTTTTTTATTAACAGTGGTACTCTATACAAGTTGTGAACATTTATTTTTCAGTGAGAGGTGTTGGATTTTTTATGGATAGTTTGTAATATTAAATGTTATTTTTAATTTGAAGTTTGGTAAATTAATTTTTAATTTCTGGATAAATTACACCAACCTCTCTTGAAGTTTGGAGGTTTTAAAATAATTGCACCGACCTGCTTTTTAGTAAAATTAAAGAGACCAAAATTAATGGAGATGGTATGAAGACAAAAAGAAACACAAGATGAAATATACATTTTAATGTAAGAGATATGAAAACAACATTCTTTCATTTATACAATTAACGAATTTCTGATGAAAAAGAAGCTAAGAGAGATATGAATTAAAACCACAAAGAAGACCAGTGTACTTATGCTAAACTTGTCAAATTTATTGTATTTTTTTCAAATCTCAAGAGTGGTTAGGTTAGTATAATTTACCCATAAATTTTTTACAAGCTTTGGTCTCAACCATAATTGATTTGAATTGCTTTTGTGTTTCCTAGTATGTTTTGCCTTTGCATTTAATTGAGTTTGAATTTTTATTGGGCTTTTGTATCCCGCCTTTCATTTCTGTCCTAGCTATAAAAGGTGAAAATGTAGATGATGGAATCAATTGTTTGACATGCCAACTCAATGAACACGTCTGCTATTCTGCATTTTCCATACAAACAGGAAATAACTATATCATTTGAGGTTCGTTCTGATGAAGTGAAGGATGTTTTTTTTGTTTTTTTTATCACCAAAGAAAGTAACATTTTATTAATGCTAATACATCATTACAAAAGGGAAAAATGAAAAAAGTTGCCCAGAATCCAACTGCCAAGAGAAAACAAAAAATCCCAAAACACTACCAACCTTCCTGAAACAAAACAGAAGAAACAGGGCATGATAGTCCAACTACAACTATCTTTAGAATCAATAGATAGAACAAAAGAGGATATAGCAGCAACAAAAAAAACTCAGATGATTCAAGTTGATCACTCGCAATTGACTACTTTGGAACAATGAATACCACGATGGTAGTGCTGCCCGACGATGTAGAAGTGCTTATATAATGTTGTAAATCCTGATCACAAGCTATTACAATTAAGTCATCGTCCTCATCTTTATACTTGACATAATAAGTTCCATCCTCTAAGTGCAGTCTATTGGCGATTTGCTGCTGCAACTCAACTAGTCCCGATGACAAAGACAGCAGAAACTTTATTATAATATCATTGACATATTTTGCCTTCACAGTCACAATATTTGCATCTCGGATCACTGTATTATGTGGGTTTGCATGAACAACAGCTGAGGCTTGACTAAAAGGCTGAACAGAACTTAATTGTGGTATTTGTTGATGATCAACACCCGGGAAAGATTCACTAGGTTGAGAGGAACCAACCATATTCTTCAGTGGTGGCCACCTCGGTATACCATAACGTCTACAAATACGCTTCAGTGTAGATTGACTAACTGCAAAAGGAAGAATCTAGATAAGAGATACTACTTTCTATTTGTTATAGCGAAAGGTCACATATTTCTTTACAAGAAGAGTGTCCAGTCGAAAATATTAAGATCACAAGAAATATTCTATTTTAATTTGTTGAGAGTGTGAACATACCGTTGAGGTTATTTGCAGCAACCTCAATGCTCCTTCTTGAATTTTGTAGGATATCATCTAAAGGAATTTTAATTTTAACTCCAGTTTTATTGTGCACTGTTTTTGGCCTCTTTGTTCTGCCTTTTTCCTTTGAACAAGTAACATCAATGTTGCTTCGTTCCGCACGTACAACAATGCTTTCATTGTTTAATGCATCCATAGATTGTTGATTTGATAAATCCAGTTGTGTCATCTCTCCTCCACTTTGTAAGGGCTCCAGCCTAGGCAAAGATTTAGTAGTTTGGGACATTTGAACAGAATCAAGTTTCTCACCATTCTGACAAGAAATTTTTTCAATACATAAATGTGCCCCAAGTTCTTCTCCAGAAGCAAACTTAAAAGTTTGGAAATTTTTCTTCATTGTTTCCAATATTTTCCTCAATGCAATCTGTTGATTACCAAAGTCTTTGTTGCTTGGCGGCATAAAGTACTCTAACACGTAAATGTCATTTCCGGTGCAACTACTTTGCACGCATATTGCGAAACAACAACCTAATTCATCAGCTCGTGCATAGTGTGCCAATGGGTAGTCAATTATGCTAAATTGGGTTACATCATTGCACAATAATACGTTAGGGGAGTAAAATGCTCTCCCAACAACTCCTTGCCCCTTTCTTAAGTGCTGTGCATCACTGGCCACATTTAAGGTTTTGTAGTACTCACTGAAATGGCAAATCAAACGGAAGATGTCACCCTTAACCAGAGCCTTGCACATCCAGTCTACCCTGCACGGAGCCCATGCTTGAGCCAAAGGTAAACCATGAACTTCACACACAACTTTCAACACCTTGCTGATTTCATCTACGGCTTCCCTTTGTCTCACATCCTGGTTGAAAAGTATTGTCACGTCCAAGTATTGTCAGAAGAGATTCCTCATCATATTAATTTAAAAAATAAAATAAATACCAAATTTGACATTACATTACAGTGTACCGTGCGATGGTTTGCATCTGATATTGAAGATTCCAGACCTACCTCCTGCAGGGGAATGGAAAGATGCGACTAAGGAATCTTATACACTTTGAAATGTAGAATATTTGTTTGCCAAGAAAAGGAAGCATATAAGAGACTCCATAATGGAAAAACAATTCAGTCACAGCTAAATGAGCACGGAATGCAATAAAAAAATACAACTTGACGTTTTGTTTTGCTTTGCTTTCTTTCTACCATAGAAGCTCATGCTTATCCTCAATTCAATAGTTTATTCATTGTATCTTTTTGGATCTTATAATTTCAATTATAATAATTTACCATTTAATTTTACATTTTGTGTCACATTGATATTGATAACAACCGTGAGGAAATAACGCAATTACATACTCCTCACATGCTATTCGGCATTGACAAGATGAAAAAAAATGAACAAATAATAGTTGTGCTAAAGGTCCATCCATCTAGCCTGTATTAATTTTTTTAGTCCGATCAATTTCGATTTCAAAAGATTAGCGCTTTAGTTTTGAAATTTGTGTTTAGTTGGTCTAAAAAACTATGAATTTTATACAGAATAGACACGTAGCCATGTTCCACTATAATAGGATCAAATATGCACAAACTAAAAGATTAAAGCAAAAAATTGTTGGTTTGCCGGATTAGTCGGTCCAATGAGCCAGATACCACAGTTGTTAATGATTTATCAATAAAATGAGTCATTTGTTATACAATTAGAAATTTGAAGAGACATGACATACTTTTCAGAATCACATGTGGCAATCTGTATTTTAAACAAACTATATTTTTGTAATTTACCTTATTAAAAACACACTTCTCATCTATTTTTTTGATAATTTTTTTTTAAAAAAAATTATGCAGAATAGACACGTAGCCATGTTCCACTATAATAGGATCAAATATGCACAAACTAAAAGATTAAAGCAAAAAATTGTTGGTTTGCCGGATTAGTCGGTCCAATGAGCCAGATACCACAGTTGTTAATGATTTATCAATAAAATGAGTCATTTGTTATACAATTAGAAATTTGAAGAGACATGACATACTTTTTAGAATCACATGTGGCAATCTGTATTTTAAACAAACTATATTTTTGTAATTTACCCTATTAAAAACACACTTCTCATCTATTTTTTTGATAATTTTTTTTAAAAAAAAAATTAAATTATCCAAGGAGCACAATTCTGCATACATATAAGAAAGGAATGAATCAACCAAGATTAGAAAGACATAAAAAAAAAAATGCCAATTTGTGAGTTGGGGGACCAACCTTAAAATAATCATGGAATTTCAGCCAAACAGAGTCGTGGTATGATTGAAATCGCTTTGAGGGCATTGTTGAAACTATCTCAAGTACACCAACACATAAGAGGGTGGAAGGATCAAACAGTGGAATAGCCCAAGATTGTTTAACTTGGCAACGTAAAGCATGGTTGCGCAATGGATACTCTTTGATAGAGTAATATTCTACATTGGGAGTGAATTCGGGAAATCCATGGTTGAACACACGGCCAGGAACCCCAAGTTGTTCATCAGAACTCTCTCTGTCCATGTAAAATTTATAGTCCATAGAGATCATCCTATACCCACAAAGTCCTTTAACTTCATCAATTCTTATATCAAATGTAGAAAGAGCGAAAGGTTGGTTTTGAGTTGTAAGATAAGACCGGCCGTCCATTGTCATGGGTGCCCAAAATTGAAATACTGTTGGATATCCAAACCAATTGCGTATACACTTTCGAAGGACATCTTTGATCTTTTTTTTTTGATCCAAAATATCTGATTAATAATAAAAAACAAAAAACAAAAAATCGAGGAGAGAAGTGAGATTGTAGCAGGTAGTAGGTAACTGTGTTGATTTAAAATTGACCTGTAAATAAAACTCCAATTACAAATTAAATAAATAGAACCCATATTCAAAGGAGGAGGAAGAAGAAGAAGAAGAGAGAAAGAGAAGAGACATAAAAGTCCCACTCACACGGAGGATGTCCGGATTGGTCGTCTTCTCGGCTCCAGAAAAACCATCCACAGAAGACATCTTTACCACAAACATCATACACCACTGGGCAGCGGTTGAGTTGAGTGTCCACATATTGCTTGAAATCGTCAGGGAAATATGCTGCTTCTCTTCCTTCTTCATCGCCACTGTAATCAAAAGGGTTATATGCATCAGATTCGGCCATTTTCTGAGACTTAATACTATGCCATCCGTCATGTCTTTGTATCTATCAAAGAATTCAAAAGATTCAAAAGGTTAACCCCATATGTTACTTTTCAAAAAAGGTCCTCAATCTCTGCCTACAAACCGCGTTGACGTTGGGTTGGAAGGGTTCTAATGCGGTTCAAATGGTTATCCCACATGTCCCGTTCAAATCCCCAAATCCTCAATTAGAGGCTTGAATGCCTCGAATTATCGTCTCTCTTCAACCAACGCGCGTGGCCTCTGTCTCTCTATCTCTCTCTCACTCACCTATTCAAACCCCAAACCCAGGCAGCTCAGGCTCTCTCTTCTCTCATACCTCTCGTTCTCTCGCTCGCTCTCAACCCTCTCATCCTCTCATCCCTCTCATCGCTGCTCTATTCTCTCTATCGTCTTCATCAAACCGCCGGAGCCCTCCTCATCGCATCGTCGTCATCAAATCACTGGAGCTGTCGTCGATGCCTTGGACTCTCATCACCTACCAGAAAAGCATCTCTCTCTCTCTCTCTCTCTCTCTGGTAAGTCCCAACATCGCAGTACCTAGGGTTTGGATTTTGGGTTTATAAATCAGAAATTGGGGCTTTTTATATCAGTTTAGATTTGAATCTATAAATCAGAAATTGGATTTGAATTTGTATATCAGTTTATATCAGTTTGGATTTGAATTTATGAATCAGAAATTGGGGCTTTTGAATTTGTACATCGCGAATATGTGTTTATTGAGAAAAAATGGTAAAAATTAGATTTAATTGTGTGAAGATTGTGTTACTTGACAAAAACTGCATTTTGTGAGATTTAATGGTCTGCTAAGTTGCTGCTATAATGGATGTATTGTAACTTGGCTTAACCTGAATTTTTTTTGTCTTAATTTCCTCTTAATTTTTTTGGCTGAACCTGAACCATGTAAGGAGTGTTGAAATCTTACCTAAGAAGAATGTTATCCTATGCCTTTCTCTCTTCACTTTTGGTTTTAAGATGTTCATCCCTTTACTTCGGTTTGAGTTCGAAAAATGCTTAATGAATGTAGCTTGAACCCTGTCCATAAGCTTATTCACCTGTAATTTCCCAAATTGAATCATCAGATTTTTCAATGTTTTCTTTTCTTTTCCAGAGCACCTAAGAAAGCTATTATGTTTTATATTATAGCTTGAAATGAATATTCTTGAATCATATTAGTGCCCATGTACTCACCTCATCAGAGCTGCCAAGGTAGGAGTTGTGTACCATCTTCAAGTAAGCTTTTGATGCATTCTTGAAGTTTCTGCAACAATTAGGTATAAACAAAAACTATAGTAAAAATAATTATTCAGATTGCTGAGATAGAAAGAGAATTCAAATTTTTGAGATAGAAAAATACCTTATCATATTTCTTCATGATCTTTGAAAATGCCAACATATTCAAGAAGCTGTTCATTTATTAGCAAAAAGATCAAACACAGTTCTATGCAAAAATCTAACTGAATTTTTCAAAAATAGAAGGAAAAGAAATAAAATAAAGTAAAGCTAAAAAGTTGAGTCTAGTCCACTTAGTATTTTTGGCTGAACCTGAAAGCATTGTTAGGGAGTTTCTGGATTAGGTTTTTAGATCATTAATGGTCAGCTAAGTTGCTGTAATGGATGGATGTATTGCAACTTGTAAGATTTCAGGTTTCTTGCTGCTGCTTGGTTGATATTTACAAAGATGATTTTGATGAGTTTTGCCTAATTGCTCACTGCCTAATCTATCTACCAACCTTCATTACTTCTTTGTTGTTGTGATATTACAGATGTCAAGTTCAAGTGTCGGATCATTTGAGATATCATAACAAGAATTGCAGTAGCCGAACGAAACAAAAACAAATTATTTTACTTGTGTGATAACTGTGGCGGTTTCATTGGATGGTGTTTGCCAACAAATAGAAGTGATGGAATTGGAAGACAGTTTGAAGGAGAAGTGCAAATGGACCATGTGCACCTCAACGACGACGTCGAGCAACATGTAATGATGAAGCTGCAAAAATTGGAAATGTTAATAAAACATGGGTTCTTCCTCTTGTTTGTAATTGGTATAGGGGTACTTATGAAAATCTAGTAATGTATTTGTTAGTTAGGATTGCTAATTATGTAGCATGGATTGTGTTTTGACTAACAAACTAGTGTAATATATTTTGTATTTTGCTCATTTTTAGTGAATACTTGTATTTTGTTCATTGGAGTTTGTTATCCTCTCTGTTTTCTGCTTTTTGTTTGATGTATCCTTACTGTATTAAATTTCAATTTTCATCCGCTTGAGCACACCTTCCCTGTTTATCACTACCAGGGCCACCACTCCTTGCATCTCTCTCTCTATATGAGAATGGATTTGAGAGTTGAGCAACAAGTACATTACCATTTAAAAGTTTGTGAACACATGTACATTAGTTGAGTTGAGCAGATGTACACGTATAACTGTGAGCACATGTACATTACAATTTAAAAGTTTGTTGTATAGGTAGAACACATTTTTGACACTATAAATATAAATTTTTTCTCTTTTTTTTTTTTTTTTGTCTGCTTTTTTCTTTTCTTTTCTTTTCTTTTCTTTTTTTCTTTTTTTCTTTTTTCTTTTTTGGCAAAATTCAACGACAAACAACAGCTCAAAAACAAAACCTAAACCAAGTCAAACACCAACTACGAATACTATGAAAGCTATAGCTTCAGGTTTGCAACATGGAACAAGACAACCCCCAATCCATAAAAGCTAAGGACAGTTTGACCATAGTGCTGCTCAACCTGCTCACATTTGTAATGCACCTGTTTGCTCTGAAACTCGGGTCACATTTCTATTAATTTCCAAGAAAATTGAATAATAAAACCTGGAGTTCTCACATTCATTAGTGCCCTATGAAAGCAATTCAATCCAAACTCACATTCATTAGTAACCTATGTATGGGGTTTTGGGGATATGTATTAGTACCCTAACTGAATTAAACAAATTCATCATAGATAAACCATTGGCAATGACAAAATACACAGAAGAATATAAACTAGCATTCAATTGATCATATAAAATAGCAGCAGCAACGGTCCACAAAACAAATCCCACAAAAGCAATTGTCTTTCTCGGTTACCCTTGATACACAAACAAAACAAAAGAAAAATTCTTGTGCTGCTACCCTTGGTTGATTGGAATGTGGGTGAGTGGGCACTAGCCTACTACCCCTGCTTGTCTGACTGGAATTTGGGTGAATTGGCACGACCTTGCTTGATGGAGTAGGCCTTTGCCTTGGCATTGGAATGCTAGATGTGCTTGATTGAGTGCACTTGGCCTTCTAACCTGCATGTTTAAACCAAGATTATTCATTATTCCATTGTAAACTTTTATTGTGAAATACTAAAACTGAATTTAGATTTCAAAATTCCTTAGGATTTCAGATCCTTTAACAAGCTAGAACTGAATTATTAATACCTTCATTGTTAGTCTTGAGAATCAAACATGGCCTTAAGGTAAGAAAGGTAAGCATTCTTTATCATCAATGTTTACTTTGAACATTTCAATTTTATTTCAACCCTCAAAAGAAAATATATATAAAGATTTAAGACCCATAAAAGGAAAACTATGATGCTTTTCAATTGAAATATGCTCAAAATGAGTGAAAAATTCAGAAACTTGTTCTAATGGAGTCTAAAGCACATTTGAATATAATAATATGCTATAAGATTCAAACTAGAAAATATTTATTTGAATCTCTTAATTTGAGACACAAATGATGAGAACAAATTAAGATTCAAACCACTTGTACAAAACTGATAATTATTAACTCCATCTCCTTTCCCTCCAAATCTATTTAATTTCAGGGAGATTCAAAGTGTGTTTTGAGTGAAAACTATTTCTCTTATCTATGAATTTCTCCCATTGGTGATTTGAGAGGATATACTTCCTCTTTTTTTTTTCATTTCCTTTCCCACCAAATCACTCCATCCAAACAAACTATTAGGGTAATTTTTTCTTTCTTTCAATCTGAAACAAATACATACCTTATATGCAACAACTTCTCCCCAACAAAGAATTCAGTGAAACAAAAGTTTTCCATTGAAAATGATATATTTCAATGACAACTCAGATAACTTGTAATGGGTCACATTTGTTTTCAAATATTCAAATATGAATAACATAATTGCCAACAATTGCATCATTAATCAGTTATATTCAATAAACTAAAACTCAAAACCCAAAACAAAATCCAGCAAATGCAAATCATCTCTTAATTGTTACCACGTATAACTTAACCTGTCATATGCATCACAAATCAATTATCAATTAACTCAAATAAATTATCAATAATCTCAATTACTGAAATGGAAGAGACTTATCAAACACATCAAAACTCACATTTGCTAAACTTCGCATACAACTTCTTTTCTCGTAAAGTCTGCAATACCACCCGCAAGTGTTGTTGATGATCCTCTTGACTCCTGGAATAAACAAGTATGTCATCAATAAATACAATCACAAATTGGTCAAGGTATGGTTGGAACACTCTATTCATAAGGTCTATAAATGCGGCGGGGGCATTAGTTAGACCAAAAGGCATAACAAGAAATTCATAATGGCCGTAGCAAGTTCGAAAAGCAGTTTTCGGTATGTCTTCTTCCTTAATCTTAAGTTGGTGATACCCTGATCTGAGATCGATTTTGGAGAACACGCATGCTCCCTGAAGTTGATCAAACAAATCATCTATACGAGGCAAAGGATACTTATTACGCACCGTGACCTTATTCAACTGCTGATAGTCAATGCACAATCTCATGGTGCCATCTTTTTTTCTTCACAAATAACACAGGTGATCCCCAAGGCGAGACACTTGGCCTAATGAAGCCTTTATCCAATAACTCTTGCAATTGTATCTTAAGCTCCTGAAGTTCCATTGGGGCCATACGGTAAGGTGCACTAGAAATTGGGGCAGTTCCAGGAATTAAGTCAATAGCAAACTCAATTTCTCGATCTGGGGGTAATCCAGGTAGTTCATCAGGAAAAACATCTATGAAGTTACACACAATTGGTATATCCTCCAATCTTGGACCACTCAATTCGGAGTCAATCACATAGGCTAAGTATCCTTGGCACCCCTTCTTAAGCATTTTTCTAGCGGTAATAGCAGAAATAACATAAGATGGGGACGCACATCGATCTCCACAAAATCTAAATTCAGGTTCCCCAAAATTGGAAAATACTACCTCTTTCCTATAACAATCCACTGAAGCATGGTAAGAAGCCAACCAATCCATTCCCAAAATCAAATCAAAATCAAGCATCTCTAAAGGCAATAAATCCGCTACCATCTCCCTATCTCCCAACTGTAATACACAACCTCGATATACCTCCTCAATTATAACACAATCCCCAATAGGAGTAGTAATGGATAAGTAATAGCCTAGAGGTTCAATAGGTTTATCAGCATGCAAAGAAAATGATAGAGATACAAAAGAATGTGTAGAACCCGGATCAATAAGTACATGTGCCTCCCTACTGAACACATAAATAATACATGTTACCACCTCCGGATTAGCCTGAGCATCCCGTTGAGTCAAAGCAAAAACTCTCCCCTGCGAGGTTTGTCTATCGGATTGAACACCTCCTTTATTCTGCTTGCCAAACCTAGTCCCAACCTGACCTCCTCCTCGGCTTCCCCCTCGGCCGGCACCTGAAATTTTATTACTACCAACTCCAGTACTAGCAGATGAAGCAATTCGTGTGCAATCTCTAGCCAAATGTCCGGGTTGTCCACAATTGAAGCAAGCTCGTGTATCTCCCAAATTAGTCATTTTAGGAACTGTGCAATCTTTCACCAAATGACCCTTCTGGCCACAACGAAAACACAAGTCGGTACCAACATGACAAACACCTGTATGTGCCCGCCCACATTGCTTGCAAACAGTTCGAGTAAACTGAGATGATGTCCCACTAGACTGTCCATGACGCTAATTAGAAATGCTTTGGGTTGGGGTGGGATGCTCTCTATTTTTTTGATATGCACTAGAGCTCTTGACTGAACCATAACCATGACCACCTCTCTTTGACAGTCTATTAGATGTGTTCTCATGATGGGATGAACTAAGGTGGCGCTTCTTCTGTTGTTCCGCTAACTTCATTTCTATGACATCTTTCTCACGGTGCCACTTGCCGTAAGTAGGCGTTGCGTGGCCTCCCACCAATATTCAGCCTCCTCCACTAGCATAAAACTAGCAAGTGCAACTCGCTGCTCGTCTGATACTTCCATCACAGAAAATATCTGCTCTACCCTCCTTAACCAGGCCTCTGCCTCCATAGGATTGGGCGATCCAGAAAATGATGGAGCCCCCAACTTCTTGAACCTCTCAATTGCGGTGAGGCGGTTCTCTGTAGGTTGCACAAATGGCCTTGACTGTGCTGCATTCTGTTGTTCAAGGATGTGAGTCTGCCTCTCCGCTAGGCTAGCCATTGACTCTAAAAGGCGCTGCACACTAGGGTCTAAAAATGCTGGAGCTGCGTCAGCCCTTGGTGGTACGACTCTATCTGAATGTCCCACTTCTGGATTGGTACTTGACTCTTGAGTTTGCTCATTATGCGATTCATGTTCAATCTCTTCTTCCTGAACCCGAGGTGGAACTTCATTTCCAACACTAAGATGTGGCTCTCGCTCAGCCTCAAGTACTTCCATAAGGGGGCGACTCTTATGAACTCTTCGCCTTGCCATACGCGCCTGTATAACAAGACAATTAAAACTTAGAATACTAGATTGCTATTAAACATCATCACTAATCGAATTACTAACTACAATACCCTATCAACTTTAATTCTAAAGTAACTAGTCTACAGATTCATAACCTAATGCTCTGATACCAAAAATGTAACGACCCAATCTTGGCAAGGCAAAACCCTGCCAAGAGGGTGCACCTCAAACGCTATAGTACCTTTCAATTGCCTAACATATATGAGATGATCTATTGAAAGACAAAAAAATATTATCATGCTACAAGATAGTTCCCAAGCATTTCCTCCCAAAAAAAAATATATTACATACTAATCACGAATCCATCAATACATCCAACTTCATAAGCAATTTTTACAATCAACCTCCTTCATAAAAAAAAGGGTAAGCTTACATCCTAGAATGACCCTAAGCAAAACCTCAACCACAAGATGCCCACCTGTGATCCTTCAAAAAAAAATTCTAGTCTTCCAAGTTGA